AATAATAGCTAACTTCAAAAAATAATAATAATAATAAGAGAGAAAATTCAGTTCCCTATCAAATATCATAATTAAGATTCTTGTGAGGTACCTCTACACTTGTTTTTTTTTGTAAGAAATTAGGACAAGAAATAATTGAAGAGGGGTTGCCCTGTCCTATGGAAAATTTCGAGTATGTTTTTCAAAGCAAGATAGCTACCTGTCACGGACCCATTTTATCCATAGTGGAAAAACACATGGTATGTTTCACTCATATGTATAAATTTGACTTTATACATAATGCAAATCCACTCATTTTTTATTTAGAGTTTTCCTTACTTTGTAAGGACAATATGCCCTTAGTCTTAGGCATTGCTTGGTTACAAACTACAATGGGGAAAAAGTTTTGCTCCACAATACTCTTCTACCTAGAGCCACAGAAAGCTCTTCCCTACCTCCCCTCCTGTGTTGTCATTTCTTGTTATTGACAATTATTTATTAACATGTGAGGCATATAGTAATGGTATGTTGAGAATGAGGCATCATTCCTAACAACTACCAAATATATTTCATATATTGGCCCATATAATATTTTAATTAGAGTTTTTTGATATTTTTTTGAGGGTTGACTTGAAATAAAAGCGAACAAATTGATATATGATGTTGGTAATTATACCGTGTGCTTGCTTGCATTTAATATATTGTTAAGCAGGAGAGGGATGAAGGTGTGTGGCATGTGTTGGAATTTGATTAGAATAAGGGAAAAGGAAAACCATGATTTGGTTTGATTTAGGACTTCTAATACAATGGGAAAGCTTGGACTTAATTAAGCCTCTTTTTCTAACCTAATTTGTACATAATTTGATTCAACTATTCTCGATAGAAAACTAGTACAAGTTGGCTAATTAGCATGGTTCTTAGAAGGCACATCATGCAATATATAAACATTTTTAGTTTGGTGTGTTTCTAATTGAAGTCGAATGCAAGCAATTCTTAATGGGCTAGGCATGCCGTCCCCAAAGGTGAAGTTTTATTCGGTAAGTGTGGAGAGAGCAATTTATAGATATTTGCGTATTAGTTGAACCAAAAACCTAAAATTTATGGTAATTATAAAAAAAAAAAATTTTTTGAAGTATTTGAGAACAAATCTTCCTCACTGGCTCCAACCTAATTATAGTCTTAAAGGCTTCCACCTGCCCATTAATAAAGGAGAAGCAAACACTAAAATTATTAAAACAGCTTTTTAAAACTCAATCAATAATAATTTTAGGTAATTATTTTTAAAATAATTTCCCACCAAATATTGTTAAATTAAATGATACCATTAAGACTCATGATCCACAATTGAAGCACATTTGGTCAAATCAAAAAATGGGTTTTCTTCTTCTTCAATAGCTAATCAAAATTTGATTATTACAAAATGACAGCTACTAATCCATTAGAAATCCTTTGTTATACATCATCGGTATCACTTTAACATGATCAAAGAGATATAATTAGTCTAATTGATCTGCACCAGTTTGTCCAACATACCATATTATAGCATGATCACAAACTACCCTCTGATTGCCTTGTTGGCAAGATCCTTGGATCTCAATGTGTCAATCTTACTAACCCAATTAGTTAAAGGCTTTATCAGGAATAAAAAAATGGATAATGGCGGACTCTCCCAATCTCTAGACATGTTTGTGGGCAAGGGGGCAATGTAATAACGTGAACCCCCAAAGATTCCCTCGTCAAAAACTAACTCAGATAAGATTTCTTATTACATAGTACTACATAGGTAGCTGCAAAAATGTGTATAACTTCTCAGTTTGGCGGCATAAGAGTGGATTTTTATGTATATTTCTACATGGGGTTTAGTGTTTAACCCCCAATCATCATGTTCTGCTTCAATATCCAACCGTAGCTGGCCTGTGGCTGTGGAGTCTTTGTTCTAGGGTTTCTGGGTTTTTGAACTTCCTTCTGCAAAGAACTTAGGAGGGCATTGAGGGGTGCACGTGTCTTGTGGATGGTATTTCACGTGGGGGCCGGGGTTGTCCCATGTGCAAAGACGTGCGGCTTTACAAAGTGCTACAGCTTGATATTTGAGCAATTGCCAGCCTAATTTTGGATGATCTCTTCCTCACAAATTGCTGATAATGCTTTTGAAAAACAGAGCAATTTTGAAAATTATAGTTTTATAATGAATTTGCAAAGAAGTCCATGCACTTTTAATTCTATCATTAAAATAAAATGGCTTCTAAGTTGTAACTTTCTTTCATGCTCAAAGTATTTGATGTACAATGATTCATTGATAGCATTATCTTCACAAGTAACAATAGTCACGTAATATCGAATAAGTTAATGTATACGTAATTATGCTTATTATAAAAAAATTAAATTGAAAAAAATTACTATCATATCAGAATATGAGGATTCATTGATAACATTAATTGATATAATCTTCACAATAGTCACATAATATAAAATTTATGCTAATGTGCGGATTTATTGTTAAGAAATGTTGTAGTGAATCATTTTTGTTCTTTAAAGTGTCATAGGGCCATGTTAACCGTGATTGAAGCAGATTTAATCACAAATCATGGAGTAATTAGCATATAAGGATTGGATAAAGCCAGATCTAATGCAAAGGTAAAAAAAGGAGGACAGATAAAGGGGCTCCAATTATTGGAAACATGTGAAAAGTAGTTGTGGAGCTTTTACCTCTGCAGCCATTTGGGTCCAGAGAGCAGACAATCCCAGTTCCCAGAATCATATTTTTTTTTTCCAGTACACCCTCTCACCCGATTCCCTCAGCCTTTCACAAAGCTCTCTCTTTTAGTAACCATTACTCAAATAAAAGTAAGTCGCAGATAAAATAAATTCTTTCCAGATTGTTCACTCCATCTCCCCTGCATGCTTGCTATCCCCAAAGTGTGTGGAATTTAATTTTTCCATCCATAAAATGTGAAGAAACTATAAAGAAAAGAGAGATTTTCATGTCACCAATGAATGCCTGTGCTTTATGGATAGGATTCTCTGATTTTGATCCGATTCTCCACTTCAGTTTTTTAACAGAGTGGAACAGAATCTCACATCAAATCATTGTTGATGATAGCTGTTCATTATAACTAGAAACAGTGACCAGTTTCTCCCTTCCGCATCAATGATTTTTTTAGAGACAAAATTGTAAGACCCACGATGCCAATTAAATTATTGGATGGGGCAAGTTCTTTAATATTAAGAGCTATACATCTCTTTCATTAAATAATTATTGTTTTGTAATTTGATATGGTTATAACAGAAAAACAAACATCTCTAAGAATGTAATTTTTCTTTCTGTTTTTAGTGGCGCGAAATATGGTCAGAATGCATTCAAAATCAGATCCTAACAGGCTGCTTCTATTATTGTTTTTTCATAATTTGTGATGGCATGGCTAGCACATGGTAGAGGTCAGCAGATCATGGCCAACGTGATGCACATGGAAACATGACACCATTCAAGGCTTGCTCAGGATTACCTCAAAACTACTGTACAACCCTTTCCGCTTTGGGTAAGGGTTTCCCATTCAGGAAAGTTTTTAATTCTGAAGTTTGAATTTTTCCCGCTTGTGCTAGAATATCTAAACGCTGCAACGGTACGACCAGGTCATGAGATCGAGCTGTTGATGTCCAAGCACCAGCTCATCCTCATCAGTTTAACAGATTCACAC